GGGACTCTGCCTACAAATACCCTGATAGCGCCTCTTGTAGAGGTATCATCTAAAAAAGTGCAGCGAAAGGTAAAGGTATTTCAGGTTTTGCAGAAATGTAGGCAGAGTCACATATTTCCAATGAGCCTGGCTTGCAAGAAACAGATAACTTGTGTTCAACATTTTTTAGTTGTGCATGTAAAACACTGACAACATAATATTTATAATAACTGTTATAAAAACATTCCCACTCACAGACCTTTGGAAAATCGATATTTGTGTAGAATGCCAGAATCAGAACCACAGGTAACAGGTAGGACTGGACCTTTAAACATGTTCATGTCAACAGCATCATCATCATCATCATCGTCTTGATTGTCTTCGATCTTATCGGGTGATTCTACAACAAATACACAAATATTCACTAAACAGAATATTAAGTCTTTCTTATTCTGAATAACTGTTGCAATGATCTTATTTAAAGGAATATTTCTCCAAACAATTAAGAAAATTAGTCCCCGTTTACCCTGTTTTTCCAAACCCACATGGCTTTTTTTCCCCTGCAGAACACAAAAGGAGAAATTTTGATGAACATCTTGGTCACTCTTAAGTCACATTTGAAAGCTTTGGCCTAGAAAGTTTAACTCCTCAACAAATCCTATCTACAATGATCGAAGAGCAGCCAAACCTTTGCATCCTGAACCCTGCTTTTTTTAAAGGATGTATATAAAAGAAATCCATCCTATGAACAGAAAAAGAACAAAGTTAGAATATGTCATAAATGTAATTATATTATCTGCATTGTGTCCATTTTTATTTCAGGTAGCTGTTATTTGTTTAATTTGAGTTTTTCAAATGATTTACTAATAGATCAGACTCACCAATCACCAAGGCCATATTAGAAAAAAGGGAAAAAGGAAATCATAATTGCACTTGAGTGTGCATTAGTTAAAACTGTTATTGAAACCTGCATGTCTTATGCACCTCTATGAGTTTCTGGAGTGGAATCCCTTTGCAAAGGATGCTGGTCTTCCACTTTTTGTGCCTCTCCTTCAGCCCAAACCTCTCAAACTCAGTGGGCTTGAACCACTGGCCCTCACTGAAAATGCACTTCTGCTCTAAAGACAGAAAATGATTTATTCAACCACTACTGGAATGACATGTTTTTGAGCACCTGGATGCTCCAGAATTACAATCTCGAGACATTCAAAAACGTGTAGCTCTTCATTAACATTCTTTAACTCTTTAACATATAGAAATGTTTCTGCACCTACTATCATAATATTTATTCAAATACAGGACACCCTCTTTATGTAACAGGATAACAGGAAGTTGAGATTTGTTTTGAGTGTTTTTTTGTCCTGCGGATGATTCTGAAACAAGTACAATCAAAATCAGTTAGGTGAAGAAGAAAAAACTTCTCAATCACATATTAGGCAGTGTAAAATGTGCATTTATTGTCACTTCTTGATTTATTGCCGTTTTGACATTATATTAGTAAAAATATATATACTTTCTGGACTCACTGGGGCAGTTTTGTCTCTTGGCTTGTTTCTTCTTCTTAGGTTTAGAATGGGAGGACGACCCCATCTGCTGTCTCTTCGTACAGCTTTGTTTCTTCATCCTCCTTTTTTATCCCTAGTGGTGGAAAGAGTACTGGAAATTTGTACTTAAGTACAAGTACTGTTACATTGCTGAAATAATACTCAATTACAAGTAAAAGTACTCCTCTCAAAAACTACTCAGAGTACTAGTTACTAGTTACTTTTTAGCTGGCGATATTTAATGAATTACCCAAAAATATTCATTCATATCAAAGATCTATGTGAACAATAGCTACTTTGAACAAAACCCATTTTTATTTTATTGACAAAGTACATGAATTAGTGGTCATGATACAGGAATTTCTAACTTCAATACCTTGAAAAATATCAGTATCAAAGTACCCGTGAACTGGAAGTTAAACTGACTTCAGTGTTGTGATGTATTTCCAAGTGAAGCGGAATGTTGAATAAAGGGGCGGGGTTTTATTGTGGTGCACCTCCACTCCACTTCTTGCTCATAGCAGATTCACGGTTGAATCGGAGTGGTTAAGAAAATCTGCTTGTTACGTCTGATATCACGCTTCACCGCTTCTGGGTCCTAACGCTCTGCCAGATGCCCCCCAGAAAACAACAAACTGTGCAGATACACACTCACAATGTCATGTAATACTGAAAAATGATAACCCTAACCTTTATCTCCATACTGAAATCCCAGATGGCCAGACAGTGATTCAGCTAAAATATTAGTGAGCAAATCTGAGACACTGTGAGCACGGAGACTGTAGTGTGCACAGCAAATATTTGAAATGCTTAGCATAAATATGTAATTTTAATTAAATAGTGCTCATAAATGGCTGTTGAGATAGTATTCTCAAGTGAAATAAGTAGAGGCATGGACCCAGAAACAGCAGTCCTTATGTCATACTTAACAAGAGGATTCTCCCGAAGCCGTCAAACTGACGTCATCAGAGCCAGAACGCCAATCCAGAGTGGAAGCGACGGCAGACCATTTTTTTCCCAGTGCATTGACTTGCATGGTTCAATTGTTCACAAGACTAGCAATGTGCACTAAAAAAAGTAGGGTCATTTTTTATTTCATGACGACTAATCTTTTTCAATACCATTGGCAAAACTACCACATACTGTATACTGCCATATAGATATTTTAATATTGTTTTTGTCGATCCTTTTTTTCAAGGCAATCATTATTTCAAGCTTTGAAATTGGTTTAATCCAAGTCTTCTAAAAAGACACATTGGCTTTATATGATGAACAGATTTTAATATAGGCTTTTATTTACATACATATTGTTAGATCGGGTCTCCACGCCAGATAATATTTAGGATCCAGCTCTGGACGCCAGATCCCATCAGAAAATATCAGTTTGTCCAGTAACAGAATAACTAGTCAGCAGCACTGTTAATACCCAAACCCTGTCAACAGCAAGTCTTGTCTGGTATCCAAAAATACCCAAAATGAGTGTTTAACAGTCTTCTGTCAGTCAAGAAGTAAACAGAGGAAAGCCAGAGAAGAGCAGAAGCAGGAGACGAAGTGATGATGGTAAAAAGTAACAGAGTTTATTGAACAATCTTAGTTGCATATGTCTCAATGTTCAAACTTCGTCTGCCCAGCACAAATTCAACATGTACTGTTATACCAAAACTGCTTCACAACAACATCCCATAAACCTTGGGTTTCCATAAACATTCCCTCTTATCTATCTCTATTCATACAGACAAAACAGTTCATGAAACCCCACAAGATTGAACAACAATGAAATTGCATAAGCTAGGGAAAATTAATAAGAAATATAAAATATAGAAACATAAATGAATAAACATAATAAATGAATAAACAATAAAAAATACTTAATATAATGATAAATGATAAAAAATAATCAAATAATAACTCATATGAATGACTAATGATTATAAAATAATTATGTGAATAAATTAATATAAATGAATTAAAAAACATGAAAACAAAAGCACAACACACACAATTTGCATGCGAGGATCTAAAGATCCTTCAATATAAATATTGATCAATTACCATTACAAAAATCTCAATCTTAAACATTTGCTCATTCTGTGTATTTGTGTCTTTAATATAGGGTAACTTTGTTGCAAAAGCTTACAGCACAAGGCTTGATTTCAAATTTGATTTCAAACTAAATTGAATTTACAAAAAAAAAAAAAAAGAGAGACAAGTACACACAATTATAAAACAAATGACCTCAATTCAGTTTGAGGTATTCAAAATATGAGAACACTGAATTTTGATAAGCAGTGATTCAATAGCCATATATGTTAGGCCTATTTATTTAGAAAAATGGAACATCAGATGGCTTTGACCGGTAATGACATACTCATAGATCAATTACAAAACCATACAGGTATTCAAGGGCAGGCATCAAGATGGTTTAGATCCTACCTGTCTGATCGCTACCACTTTATTTATTTAAATAGAGAGTCATCTCAATTATCACCAGTAAAATATGGAGTGCCACAAGGATCTGTCCTAGGTCCTCTGCTATTTTCAATATACATGTTGCCCCTTGGTAATATTATTATAAAATACGGGATTAGTTTCCACTGTTATGCCGATGATACTCAACTATATATCTCAACAAGACCAGATGAAACTTCTAAATCATCTAAGCTAACAGAGTGTGTTAAAAATGTAAAAGAATGGATGATCAATAATTTTCTCCAATTAAATTCGGATAAGACAGAGATATTACTTATTGGACCAAAAAAACAGTTCACAGAATCTCTTGGATTACAATTTGCAACTAGACGGATGCACGGTTACTTCCTCTACAGTCAAAAATCTGGGTGTTATATTAGATAGCAACTTGTCTTTTGAAAATTGAAACATTGCCAAGTTACGAAACATGTTACCTGTTTCTGATGCAGAACAGCTAGTTCATGCATTCATGACCTCTAGTCTGGACTACTGTAATGCACTTCTAGGTGGTTGTCCTGCATCGTCAATAAACAAGCTAAAGGTAGTCCAAAATGCAGCGGCTAGAGTCCTTACCAGGTCAAGAAAATATGATCATATTACTCCAATTTTACAGTCTTCGCACTGGCTACCAATTAAGTTCCGTATCAGTTACAAAATATGATTACTTACCTGCAAGGCCCTTAATGGTTTAGCTCCTGCGTACCTAACTAGTCTTCTACCACGCTACAATCCATCACACTCCTTAAGTTCACAAAATTCTGGACTTTTGGTAGTACCTAGGACAGCAAAGTCCACTAAAGGAAATAGAGCTTTTTCGCATTTGGCTCCCAAACTCTGGAATAGCCTTCCTGATAACGTTCGGGGTTCAGACACACTCTCTCTGTTTAAATCTAGATTAAAGACACATCTCTTTGGCCAAGCATTGTAAACAATGTGTAGCGGGGAATTTCACTACAATGTAGGGGTGAGTTTAACTTCTGCTACAATATATCTTGGACGACTAGGGAAATGACAAGATCTAGGTCTTAAACCCCTAGTACATTTAATTCCTGTACTTAAGTATCTGCCTTTATCTGCCTTGCTAAATATGCTTTTTTTTTCTTTAGTAGCAGCGACTGATGAGGATTGAGGCTCTGGAATTTAATAACGAACACGGTAGCTACCCAGAGTATAATGGCGTTGATTAACCCCTCTTCCCCTCTATCAGCCCACAAGACAGTAGGAATGCCCCTACTCCAAGATAACAGAAGTTTTACACTTATTTCATAAATGCTTAGTAAAGAATAAACAAAATAAAGAAAACAATAAAATCTTTGTTTCACTTTTCTTATGAATTCTTATGATTTCACCAAGAAATGTACAAAAAATTTAAAATTAAATTTTGTTCGGTTTATTTCTTTCAACAATAATACTAAAACAAAAATAGAAAAACAACAACAGTTCTGATAGAACGTTCAAATGGTACTCAGTTCACTCAAAAGTTCATTCCACATCAGACATCTTTCATATCAGTTCACATTCACAATCACAAAAAAAAAAAGTTAAAGTTTTACCTCACAGTAGAACTGGGCTGGTGTTGGAGTGTCCAGATATGGCAGGGTAATTAGATCAAACAAATAGCCACCTGTTCAAAAACAGAAAGTCTATTCCTTTTCTTTAAACACCGGAAAAATAATGTTCAGGAATAAATAATAAGGGAAAAATATATTTCTACGAACGTTTCCGGTAGACGAGACAGTCCCTTCAAAAAAAAAAAACGTAATTCAGATTAATTCCCTCAAGCAAACTCAGTTATCAGTTCTCAAGTCCATTCAAAAAGAATTTCGAAGTCTAAGTGAAAATACTGCAAAACGTCCAAAAATAAACTATGAAAAATAGAAGGAAAAATGTGTTCGCAATGCCGTTTGTGTCCACACGGTGGCACTATTGTATCAAAAACGAAACACGGGGATTTTGTCTCGAACAACAGCAGCAAAATGACTAGATCCAAGCTTCTTTGCTTCAAAAACAACAAATAGCGTCCGCGTATTTCTTCAGAATATCAACTGTGGTTAAACAGCAGTGAAGAAAAACTCACAGTATCTCGGCTCCCTTCCGTAGAAGACGAACACTCACACCGCCTCAGCTAGCACGATGAGCAATGCCCCTCCTGGTCGTGTATCACAGACACGCAGTTCAGTTTCTCGGCGACCAGGCTCCGTCAAAACTCACGACAGCACAAGCTCGGTCCAGCTTCTCGGCAGCTCACCTCGACGCTTGTCTAATGCTGTTCACATCTAATCAAAGAAGTCACAAGAAAACTAACCTTTTCTTTCTCGCGCTCGTTCTCGCTCATTTCAGTCCTCTTGCATACCTCCACAAATGCATCTCATAATCTTGTACTGCAGTTATATCTGATCAAACGCGCATTATTATTCTTTAGCTTGGGGTTAAACAAATCAATTTTGCTTGGTTGGAACAGCAGCTACGCTAATTAGGTCTCTATTTGTTTCTCTGTTTCTGCCACGGGGTAACTAGGATTTACACAAGCTTCAGTCTGGATCCAGAACACCTGAGAAGAGATGATGGCAACCCCTCAGAGGATGCCAACCCTGAAACAACATACAGAACTACCACACTTTGCTATAAGTTTGATTGCATCATATAACAATTGCTGTATATCTTTCATGTCAGTTCACATGCCTGAGATTCATAATCCCAGAGTTAAAGTTTTACCTCACAGTAGAACTGGGCTGGTGTTGGAGTGTCCAGATATGGCAGGGTAATTAGATCAAACAAATAGCCACCTGTTCAAAAACAGAAAGTCTATTCCTTTTCTTTAAACACCGGAAAAATAATGTTCAGGAATAAATAATAAGGGAAAATATATATTTCTACGAACGTTTCCGGTAGACGAGACAGTCCCTTCAAAAAAAAAAAACGTAATTCAGATTAATTCCCTCAAGCAAACTCAGTTATCAGTTCTCAAGTCCATTCAAAAAGAATTTCGAAGTCTAAGTGAAAATACTGCAAAACGTCCAAAAATAAACTATGAAAAATAGAAGGAAAAATGTGTTCGCAATGCCGTTTGTGTCCACACGGTGGCACTATTGTATCAAAAACGAAACACGGGGATTTTGTCTCGAACAACAGCAGCAAAATGACTAGATCCAAGCTTCTTTGCTTCAAAAACAACAAATAGCGTCCGCGTATTTCTTCAGAATATCAACTGTGGTTAAACAGCAGTGAAGAAAAACTCACAGTATCTCGGCTCCCTTCCGTAGAAGACGAACACTCACACCGCCTCAGCTAGCACGATGAGCAATGCCCCTCCTGGTCGTGTATCACAGACACGCAGTTCAGTTTCTCGGCGACCAGGCTCCGTCAAAACTCACGACAGCACAAGCTCGGTCCAGCTTCTCGGCAGCTCACCTCGACGCTTGTCTAATGCTGTTCACATCTAATCAAAGAAGTCACAAGAAAACTAACCTTTTCTTTCTCGCGCTCGTTCTCGCTCATTTCAGTCCTCTTGCATACCTCCACAAATGCATCTCATAATCTTGTACTGCAGTTATATCTGATCAAACGCGCATTATTATTCTTTAGCTTGGGGTTAAACAAATCAATTTTGCTTGGTTGGAACAGCAGCTACGCTAATTAGGTCTCTATTTGTTTCTCTGTTTCTGCCACGGGGTAACTAGGATTTACACAAGCTTCAGTCTGGATCCAGAACACCTGAGAAGAGATGATGGCAACCCCTCAGAGGATGCCAACCCTGAAACAACATACAGAACTACCACACTTTGCTATAAGTTTGATTGCATCATATAACAATTGCTGTTAATAGTGTTCATCGTCTGTTTGATTACGTCTTTAATTTATATTTCGGTACATTTCTGCCATATGTACATTAATTGACAGTCACCACTGATAAGCTACCACTAAATATTGTAGAAAGTCAGGCGTATTTGAGAGCGCGCATCCAGTTTTTTGCGATTGCATGACTGTGTTCTTCTCGTGTTACAATAAAGCGCTCGCCACATTTGCGCGATAATGATTAAAATTACGCGGAATACCTATCTGCAATCCTGCGTGTCAAACTCACTGTCGGAGAGGAGAGAGAGACGGTGTATATAGCCTAGGTAGATAGGCTACTGTGGAAAATGAGTAATGGAACCACCGTGTCAGACATTTCGGTATCAAAATATAGATATTTATGATGATAACACTACCATGTAGTTTGTTTCTCCAAACTTTATGAGTCCATAAATTACGCTAAGCTCCCTCACTGTCTTGATCAGCTCTTCAAAACCCGCGGCAGCTTTTCACGGTTCAGATATCAGGGCTTTTATTGGTCCCTTTACGAAGTGCCGTCAAAGGTTTGAATATCAATTAAAATTGTGGGCGTACTCAGTAACGAACTAAGATTTAAAAGTAAGGAAGTAGATTATTTTGCTTAATTTGTACTTAAGTTACAAGTAAAAGCACAGCTTTAAAAAATATACTTTAAAAAAGTACAAGTAGGCCTACCCGAAAAAACTAGGTAACGGTAATTACAGTAACGTGAGTAGTTGTAATTCGTTACCTCCCTCCACCACTGCCCTTGACGTTCTTTATCTCCACTGCTGTTTTCACTTAGCGATCAGATTCTGGAATGCTCTGGAAGAGTAATTTCATGTAGAAGGCTGTCGATCATCTGCATTATTTGAACAGCAGGAAGTGGACGGGTTCCACCATGTTGAGCTGTCTGTGGTGTAATATCTCCCCTCCCACACTCACGGAAACGAAACTGAAAGCTGCTTCCTGGCCCGTTGTCTTTGCATACGAGTGAAAATAAGACTATAATATCAGAAAACATTCACAGAAGGATATAATTCTTTGGCTCATCCAGATAATGTAAATATTTGTAATAACCGTTTAACCTTTTTGCATATGATTTCATACATTATTAACTCTTTTACTGTTGTCCTGTATCACACACACACAGGCAAACATGCATGCACAACATCAACATTCCTTAGAATCTTTCCACTTTTTAATTTGAAATGTAGTAAAAAAATTCATGATGCCTAATGCATTTAAGGGGTCATATGATGTTGCTAAAAAGAACATTATTTGATGTAATGAAATGTGTTTATGGTTCAAAAAACACATTATTTTCCACATACTGTACATTACTGTTTCCCTTTCGATTCGGTCACTCTACATTGCTATGGAAATTACCCTTTCTTCCACTCTATATAAAGCAGCGCTTGTACGTCATCTATTCAGAATCTTTTTCTTCAGCCAACCTTCTACGAGAAGCAAGAAGCCTATCAACAAGACTACTCACCGTGATCTACACGCTGCAGCGGACACGCCTTCTCTTCCCCTGCTGTGTTCCGGTGAGCTTCGGAAACAAGGATGACTCGCGATTGCCTCTCCTGCGCAGAGCCAGTCGAACTCACTGATGACCACAAGTCGCGCCCACGCAGAGGCAGCGCTTGGGTTGTCGGAGTGCCCCCACTGCGGAGATATGAGCTCCGGACTCTCAAGCTCCATGTGGCCATCATCCAAGGTGATGAACTCGCCCAACTAGCCCTGCCGCGCTCTTCCTCTGCAGCCTCTTCGAGCCAAGGAGAAAAGTGCCGCGAGCTTCTGATGAGGATCTGTCAGGGTCTGGAGACGAGCCCCGCCGGCTCAGTGCCCACGCGCTCCCCACCCCCCTGCTGCAGGTCCCCTTCCAGTGCGCTCCATGACCGCTGTTCTCCGCCCCTCCCCCATCGCTCAAGATGTAATGTCCTACAGTGCCATGGAGGACGCTGAGGATGAAGATGATGCCATTTCGGTGGCAGCGTCTGCGAGAGAGGAATGGTCTAACAGCCTGCTGGATTACACTGCGCCCCACGGCAGCGACACGGGGGACCTCCATCATAGTGATGTCGAGCTCCTAAGCGTCCTGTCCAAGGCAGTTGATGAGCTCGGTTTGGAGTGAGCGCCTCTTGCCGAGCCGGCCAGAAGCCGTCTGGACGAGTGGTACCTCCAGTCAGATCGCGGCCGAAAGGACACACCGCGGAGGCCCGGACCCTTTTTCCCTGAGGTGCACGATGAGATAAAGAAGTCGTGGAACGCGCCGCTCACCAGTCAAGTGCACAACCCGGGATCCTCCCTCCTGTCTTCTGTGGACGGCACTGACCAAGTGGGGTATCTTAAACTCCCTCCCGTGGAAGAAGCCGTCGCTGCCCATCTCTGTCCTTGAGCCGCGGCGAACTGGAGAGAGAGAAACAACGCATCTCTCCCCTCTAAACCTTGCCGCGCCACTGCAAACTTTGCTGGCAAGGCTTTCTTCGTGGCGGGCCAAGCAGCTTCAGCACTGCACGTGATGGCGATACTCCAGGTGTATCAGGCCAAGCTGTTCAAGTCTCTGGATGAGGACGGGCCGGACCCTGAAGTGTTCAAAGAGCTCCGACGCGCCACGGATCTGGCCCTCAGAGCGACGAAGGTGACAGCTCGAACGATCGGCCGCAACATGGGGAATCTTGTGGTGCTAGATCATCACCTGTGGCTTACTCTGACCGAGTTAAAGGACTCGGAAAAAATGGCCCTTCTGGACACTCCCGTGAGACATTCACGGAACGCTACGTTGAAGTGCAGAAACAGTCGAAGGCTATTAGCCACTTCCTGCCAAAGTGTGCCGGCACGAACCCTCCTGCGCGTTCCCGCTCC